ATTGATATTTGATTGATTTCCATATTTGGAAGATAGTGACAACGGCTAGAAGGATAAATAATAGGTTCCAACGTTCGAAAAGGGTCTGGGTCCCCAAATAAATTAATTGTCTTTACCAGACGACAAACAGCAATTTTGTCTTTACTGGAAAAGTTAACGAAAGAATAGCGCTGAACTTAGGAACCAATTTGGATTGAAGTCTGGATAGATTTCTAAGAAAGGAATACTTAGAATAAAGATTAGAGTGATAGACTTCTAGGAAAACAACCTTTCAAAGAAGGCAGGTTGCTAAGGGCAGAGGGCTGAGCAGAGGGCTGAGCAATTGGTTTGAAGAAGTTGGCTTGAGCAGTTGGCTCGGCAGTTGGCTCAGCAGTCGGCTCGGCAGTTGGCTCAGCAGTTGGCTCAGCAGTTGGCTCAGCAGTTGGCTCGGCAGTTGGCTCGGCAGTTGGCTCGGCAGTTGGCTGCCGGAAAAGTCAGCTAGAAGATATCTTTAACCACGTTTGAAACACACATTTGAGAGGGATTTAGAGCTCTTAAAATTGAGGTTAAGTTGAAGCAAAAGGATGGAGAAAAAGCTTGAAGACAGCTCACTCAAAACAAGAGAAACTCAAGGAACAAAAACTAGTCAACTGTTTTGAAAAAGCACTCAACTGCTTGGGAAAACTTAGGAATTTGACTCTGTCGTGCAAAAGTAAAATGTTTTATTAGTTATTAAGAAAATATTTTAAGTGATAAAATTGATTTTGAGAGCCTTTAATATGCAATCCACACATTCTTGATGAAACAGCTTTTCTAGCTATCAAGAAAGACTATTTTTAGTGGATTGACTTGAAAGTGTAAACCTGCAGCATCTCAACACACATGTTAGTTTCATTATTTGTAAACATCAAAAACTAAAGGTAGCACAAGTCGGCTAACAAACAACACATATACAACGATATTTAATTAGATTGGACACCATAAAATATTCCCAACAAATCGGTCTTAAAAGATAAATGATTTTGTGTTGGATATGAATCCCCAACAATAACCCGCTATTAGCCTTAACAGACGGTGTGTAAACCGCTTTGCGGAATGTCCCCTTGATAAACAGTCGACTTTCCTTTCATTAGGGGAGAAAATGGAGAATTCTCTAATTAAATGATAGGAATCATTATGGTACTTCCCTACCCTATCTTAAAAACGATTTCCAAACTTTAAAATGTAATATTGAAGTAAAGGATTAGAATCGCCATAAGTAGCGTGAGTGATCAGGTCACATACCCTAGCCGTAAATATATCTGTAAGGCTCGAAGTTCAAATTAAAAGATACAATGCTAATTAATGGAACAAACATTGCAACCACGAACAGTGGGGTTGTGATTGAGGCCATGGCTCTCTAAAGGAATAGAGGGAAGCCACATGGTTCAATTAATTAGACATCTTAAGTAGTAAGGGTAAATAAGGCACAAAGCAATATATTCGTCATCATATGAATTCCTCTCATGAGATTATCTCTGGCTAAACATGTCCATGAATCAATAATGGGGGACGCCCCAAAGTTCAAAGGATTCTAGATAATTAAAATCTCAATGGTAATGAGAGTGTGTCTGAGTCGAAAGATAGACCTTACACTTATACTGACGATATATTTATATGGTTGCTAAAAGGATTATAGAGCACGATGGTATCGAACCGTACTCTATTGCAATATGAAAGCAATGAGAATATTGGCCTAAATGCGTACAAGTAATCCAAGTATAAATTTAATATTTGACAAAGAGACATGTATTTGGTATGATAGTGCTAATCAACCAAGTGTTAAGCCTGTACGACATAAAATAATTCTTTGTTAGAAAGTGTATTGAGATAATGAGGTCCTAATTATTCTCACAACGCTCTGGATTCAAATATGAAAAGTTATACTTCTCTATTTTGAACACAAAAATGTTGGACCACATAATCTCCTAGTAGCCTCCAAAGTATGGAGACGCAACTAAAGATTGGGGTGACCAAATTTCTCAATAGAATCTCATTTAAGAGATGTATTTGAAGCATTTGTCATGGTTTTATTATCTCAAATCAAGTGACTCTAAATCACATAATACAATAGTACAATTATATTGAATCATTCAGTGTTGAATTAAATCAATCCAAATAGAAGTGGATATCCTCTAAGTAATCACTAGATTGAGTAAGGATAGAATGACATATTATGCTTGCACAACTTTCCAAGTATCATTGTATGTCGAAGATAGAGACATAATATTTACTCATAATGAAATATGAGAAATCTTATATACTTGAAAGTCATAATTGAGATAAAGGATCTCGGGAAAGTCGGGTTTGCTTTGAAATTAAACACCGAGTTGGTTGAATAATAATTCACCAGTTGCATATATCCAAAAGGGTCCTCAGGCAAAATTAACATGGATAAATGTAAATTGTTAGCATTCCCATGATCGGTCGAAATATATATACTAGAAAAGATCCATTATTGAAAAGTTATTATGAGAAGAAATTCCCTATGTAAGTGCAATATGCGCATGATTGTACTTTGACAAACACATTCGATCAAATATTACATTCTCAATAACGTGTTAGCTAAAAATAGCTCAGGACAAACACATGGTATATCGTCATTGGGATGGTATCAAGAATGTACTTTGATATATGTATGAAACCATCGATGTAATATGTATTCATCTCTTATAAATTGAATTAAATGATTGATGATAACAATATTCCTAAAGGAATTGAAAATATCAAAAGTATTACTAACATAAAGTAACGTGATTTAAGTTTTACCGATGATGGGTATCCCCTTACTTCATTGATATTTTCTTAATGAGTACATATTTATCATGAAAGAAACCTTGATGTTATGTATAAAATACCTTGATAAAAGTATATATCAAGTAATTGTTGGATTCTTATTGATGTGTTTCACTCAGGGAGGAGTCCTTACATACTTATTTATCATCAAGTATATCGGTGTGTTGTACTCTTTTTCCCTTTTGACCAAGTTTTATTTTTGCCATTGTGCTTATTTTTCCCACATTTTAATTTTTCAAAAGTAAAATTATGTTGAAGAAAGAATATAATAATTAATATATCGCAGTCAAAAGTAATTGATGTGTGCTTATTAGTGCATCATATTGATTTTTCCTTTGACCGATGTTTGTTTTTTCCCATTGGGTTTTGTTCATTGCCAAAGTTTTTGCAAGTTAATAATTTCTTACACTTATCACTTACACTTGGCACACAGGTGGGGAGAACTAAAGGAATTATATTTCTCTATTTGTGTGCCTTCATAATGGTAATTAATGTAAAATGTATTGGAATGCATAGACTTTCCAAAATATACTTGATTAATGTAGATATTAAGGGTAAGTGTTGACGTGAAGGAGAGTCTCCCGCGTAGACTACGTTACGCTCTTTTCCTTTAACCAAGCGTTATTTTTCCCGCTGGGTTTTGTTACTTGGTAAGGTTTTTAATGAGGTAACGATACATGTATGCTTTATTGATCGAAGCAATGATCAAATAAGGATAGATTTAACGAAAGAAGTTTATCATAAAGTTGTACCCATAGGGTTTTTTTGTTACTTGGCGAGGTTTTGACGAGAGAACATGACAGATACCAAATTCTCTATACAACTCAGTACAAGGGGGAGTGCTGAAGGAAATTCTATGTAGTGTGCTATTGTGTATATATAATATGTATTATGATCATTTTGTGTAAACTCAGATTATGGGCCAACTGGTCCATCCTTGTAAACCCTAATTTATCCCTGTTCATAGTGTATTTGATAATGAAATAACACACTCAATTCTTCCTACAACACTTCCAAATTTATTAAATGTTTTGATGTATTAAAGAGTTTTTTCTCCTATGCATTAAAGATATTAAAGAAGTTTTTCTTCTAATTTTTAGCACTTCTTTCTCCTACTTTTGCTCCATGCACTTTTTTCTCCTACTTTTTCTCCCTTTTCCATTTGGTGTACCATCTCCTTTTTATTTGGATCTATTTGAGTGTTTTAATAGTAGTGATAACTGATAACAAAATATTTGTTAACCAATAAGAGAGTGACATGTCAGCCATTTCTAACTCTATTTTACTATATAAAACAATAGATAGGATTTTTAATAAATTAAAAAGTCATCAAAATAGGAAGTGTGAGCTTCATTCAAGAACATTCCAATTCCAGAGGAAAGCAAGAACTTTCTAGGTGCAAGGAAATATATAACTGAAGAAATTAGTGCAAATAGGATAAAAACGTTTTATGTGTGCACACATATAACCATTGCTATTTTCTTTTTAAATGGAATATCATTTCATTATAAAGTAAGAAGGAAATAGTAGTTACCATTTTTTATAAATAATTGAGCGAGTCATATTTATATGAAATATGGTGGTTTTCATCGATATTTTATATTTCATTTTCAGAAACCTTTTCACTCAACTGTGATTTAAAAAGAAATAAAAAAAGACAACCGAAGATCAATACATGGATTAAATGCTCATGGTCTCTATAAAAGAAGAACCTTTAAATGTCCGATCAGCTACCTATCAACCAAATGGATGCAATAAAAGGATTTAGTTAAACGAAAATACTTTATATCGTAACAAACACCCAACGTGTAAGGATTATAAATGACTATAAAACTAGGATGTATATGTGGATGTTAATTGAATTAAGGAAATGATTAATTGTAACATATATGTATGCATAAAGTAATAATAAAATTATCTGATCTTGTTGACAATAGATTATTATTTGCTCGAATGAAAACAGTTTTGAGTGGCCGAATATGAGACAATATCGTAGGTTCTCAAATGATATTGAGTAAACAATAACTTGAATTCATGCATGATTTTTCACCATCACCACTTTGTAAAACAACCCTTGATATTCCCTAAATTCAAGGTTTTCCTTTCTCTTATTGTTGTTATTCCCTAACAAGTCGGGACAAAATATGTATAAATACCAATATTCTAATGGTAACATTTTAGTAACCTCAATATATGAAATACGATGCTTAATCCTCGTCTTTGATTCCTTTGAAAAAAAAGAAAAAATAGAAACTAAAGAGAATGTCTCTTAAGATAATCATCATCATGATAAAAATATATCATATTCCGCTTACCACATTTCTATTTCTATGGCTATTAGCTTCTTCTACGTCGGCTGATAACATCAGTATTGGAGCTTCATCCTCGAGTAGCAACTATACCGGTAGCTTCTCGAAAATGTATGCTTTTGGAGGATCAAGTACAGACACCGGAAATGCCAACTCAATGGGAACACTTAAAGATAATGTCGGTGGTTCTTCATCACATGAGGATCCAAAGTCATATACCAAAGGGAGATTAACTAATGGCCGCCTCGTAGTTGACCACCTAAGCGACTCTCTTGGCATACATTCTCCTCTTCCATATCAAAGTGTTACAAGTGCTTCATCATCTAAAAGTAGTGGGAGTGCTTCATTTTCTAGCAGCAGCAATTCATTTTCTTCAAGTAGTAACTCTTTTAATTCATCTTCAAATAATGATGTTAGTAACTCATCATCATCAAAGAGTGATAAAAGTGGGAAAAATACTTCGTCAACCAAGAGCGGCATAAGGGATTCACCATCGCCATCGTCAAGGACCAATATAGATGCTTCATCATCGAATAATGTCAACATGGATGCTTCCTCATCATCAACGAGTAATGCCAATTCATCATCATCAAAGAAAGACACAAATAATTCATCTTCATCACAATCAAAGAGTAACACAAATAATTCACTAAAGGGAAATACAAACGCATCTTCGTCAAAGAGTCACAAAGGCGATTTATCGTCAGAGAGCAATGCCAAGGATTTATCATCAACAAACAACAAAGGTGTTAGTTCATCTTCAAAAAGTAATATAGATGAATCATCATCAAAGAGTGACACATATCCTTCACCGTCACAAAAAAACAAGAATACTTCGTCATCAAAAAGTAACATAGATAGTGCCTCTTCAACAAGGGAAAGAGATAGTTCATCTTCAAGAGGTGAAACAAATTATTCATCGTCGAAGGAGAACAAAGATTATTCCTCATTGGAGAATGACACAAATGAATTATCATCAAAGAAAAACAAAGGTTCTTCATCATCAAAGAGGGAAAAAGACGATTCTTTTTCAAAGAATAAAAAAGACAATTCGTCGTTGAAGAGCAACAAAGATACTTCTTCTTCAAAGAGAAATGAAGAAGATTCGTCATCGAATAACAACAAAAATTCTTCATCATCAAAGAGTAGCGCAAATGCTTCATCATCTAAGAGAAATAAAGACTCTTCATCATCAAATACTGATAAAGATGGATCGTCACCAAAGAGTAATAATGACACTTCATCCTCAAAGGGAGAAACCGATTCATCATCATCAAAAAGTAAAAAAAATAAGAATACAAACTTGACCTCATCAAAAAGTGGTTCAGACTCATCATCGTCCGATAAAAACAAAGGTACATCATCAAAGAGTGACAAAAGTGATTCGTCCTCTAAGAGTAAAAAAGAATCTTCATCTTCAAATACTGATATAGATGGTTCTTCATCAAAGAGTAATACAGGCTCATCGTCAAAGAGAGAAACGAAATCATCATCATCAAAAAGTAAAACAGGTAAGAATACAGACTTGAAATCATCAAAAAGTGATACAGACTCGTCATCATCGCAAAGCAATAAAGATAATTCATCATCAAAGAGTGACAAAAGTGATTCATCATTACAAAGCGATAAAGATAATTCATCACCAAAGAGCATAAAATCAAGAATCAACAAAGGAACCTCATCATCAAAGGACAACAAAGGCACTACATCGTCAAAGAGTATAAAAGACACTTCATCTTCAGAGAGTGACACAGATTCTTCAACATCGACGACTAATAAAAATACATCATCATCAAAGAGTGACAAGGATGCTTCCTCATCAGTGGGTAATGAAGACACAAAATTATCAAAGAGCAACAATGACACGTCATTAAGTACAAACATACATGATTCTTCTTCAAAGAGTAGGGAAGCCACCACTTCATCCTCAAAGAGTGATAATAATTCTTCAAAGATCAATGATGAAGCCTCGTTGAAGAAAAACAACAGTGCTTCATTCTCCAAGACTAATACAGATGCTTCATCCACAAAAAGCAATTCAGATGTTTCATCCAAAATGAGCAATACAGATGCTTCATCCTCAAAAGAAAATACAGATGTTTCAACCTCTAGTAATCACACAGATGGTTCATCCTCAAAGAGTAATACTGATGTTTCGTCTGCCAACAACAATATGGATGCTTCATCATCAAATACCAATGCAAATTCTTCATCTTCAAACATTAATGTAGATGATTCATCTTCAAAGAGCAATGCAGAGGCTTCATCTTCAAATACTAATGCAGACACTTCATCTTCAAAGAGCGATAAAACATCTTCGAAGAATAGTGCAAATGATTCATCTACAAAGAGTAATAATGATGCTTCATCCTTAAAGAGTAATACAGCTGATTCATCTTCAGAAAGCAATGTAGATATTTCATCATCAAAGAGCAATGCAAATGATTCACTTTCGAAGATCAATGCTGAAAATTCATCTTCAAAGAAAAACACAAGTGATTCATCCTCAAAGAGCAATACAAATTATTTATCCTCAAACAACAATGCAAATGATTCATCCTCAAGTAATATTACAGATGCCTCTTCCTCAAAGAGCTATTTAAATGCTTCATTTCCGAAAAGCAATACCAGTTCTTCATCATCAACTAGTAATGAACATGATGCATCCTCAAACAACCACTCAAATGATTCACAGACAAAAAGTAATACAGACGACTCAACATCAAAAGATGGTAAGGTGAATCATCATCAAAAGGTGGTATAAAAATTAATTATCTCTAAAATTAAAAATTGATGCTTCATCAAATAATCATAATACTAATGCTTTGTATTCTCAAAATGAAATAGATGCTTCATTATCAAAGAACAAAATGGATGATTCATCATCAAATCAAAACAGCGGTATTTCATGGTCAAGTAGCAATGCAGATTCTTCATGGTCAAGTAGCAGTAGTTCCTCGTGGTCAAACAACATTGGAGGAGATACAACATCAAATGGAGAAACAAGTTCTTCGATCTCAAATAACAATAATGATGGCTTAAATTCTTCAACATCCAATAATATTAATGGCCAAGCAGATGGAGCATTCAACAATACTACTATTTCAAATTCAGAGTCTGGAATGAACTTTGCTATTGCTGGATCAACATCTCTTTCTAGAGAGTATTATGCCTCCCAAAAAGCACATTCATTTATTTGGCAAAGCATTCCCCTTACTTTCCAAGCACAAATAGACTGGTTCAACAAATTCTTGCAATCAAAGGGGTGTAATAATGCAGCCGATGCACATTGTAAATCTGAGATTGAGAATGCACTTTTTTGGTTGGGTGCAGTAGGTGTTTCTGACTACTTCCGGATTAGTGACCAATCTGTGGCTTCTATGCATGGAATATCACAATTATGCATTCTTCACACCTCAAAACTTATGCAGGTACGTGCATTTATATAAAATATATATAGTCACACTTACATGAGAAGATTATTTTTAGAATACCATTGATACCTTTGTAATTTTATGATAGTGCAGACCGTGCTGGACGCAGGTGCAAAACACATAGTTGTACAAGGTTTACCACCCGTAGGTTGCTTTCCCGTCAGCATATCATTATGCCCAACTCACCTACTGGATAAGATGGGATGTTCTACTATCGTAAATACAGCAATAGACGTCCATAATAGGCTACTCCAAAAGATGATAGAGAAGTTTCGTAAACAATATCCTCAAAGCAAGATCATTTATGCAAATTACTGGAAAGCTTTTTTAACAATATATAGTGACCCTCAAAAGTATAATTTTGACGAGACAAGAAAAGCTTGTTGTGGAGCTGGAGGAGATCTTAACTTTGATAAAGACAAGTTATGTGGCACATCTGATGCAACTACTTGCTCCAATCCTGATAAATATATAAGTTGGGATGGCATTCACCTCTCTGGAGCCATGAACAAACAACTAGCCGATCTTTTGCTCCACCAAGACTATTGTGAACCTCCATTTTCAGAGCTAATTAGTAAGAGAAGTAGCTGAATGCGGCAACAAAGGATGTAGTATATTATATTGTCTATTATCGCCCCAGATGTGTCTCATCGTGTGAGCGAGCACATAATAGAAAAACATTATTTAAATAGCTAGTTTTTGAAAAAGTAGCATGAAGAATGGAAATGATCCTTGTACATATTAAAAAGCATATGATAACTAATTTGCATTTTTAATCATTCTTCCCTCGTGGATGGTGTACTGTAATTAAGGTGTCTTTTTAAAGCACTAGTATAGTACTCGTGCGATGCACGGGTCATTTTTTCTAATGTTATTGAGTGATTATTGTGTTTCCTAACATATTTCTAATCAATTAATGTAATTTTCACAAAATATAAATAGAAGAAAGAAGTATATTGAAATGAAAATGTAAAGTTATACGTAGACCCAATACAATAAGTGACACATGAAAGAGCAATATACAATTAATTTTGATTGAAAACTGATTTCTTTAAGAATATCCCAATATTAGACAACAAATAGCTAACAAATAATGCAATGCGGAACTTAAAAAAATAATGCAATGCAGAAATTTTATGCATATATCAAGTATATAAGTTTTTCGCAACAATCTTGCGAGGGATTTGTTGGAGATATTTTATTGTGAATCAAGTTGGTCATAGATTAGCTTTATATTTAATCCTTGTATTTAAATAGTGCATAAATTAGATAGAAATCAGGCCAAGTGTTAGGCCCATTTAAACAGGCCAAAAGCCTGTTACGCCTAACCTAAACCTCGCCTATAAAAAGGGAGCCGAGGTTTAGGAAAAGGTTGAACGTCGTACTTATTATTTCATAGCCTTACGTTTATCATTCTGCTGTACGTTCCACGGTTTATCAAAGAAGGTTTTACGGTGATTCATTCTGTTTCATCTTTACGTTTAATCTTCCTTTGTTAGATCGATTATTCATTGCTGTTACAGAAACAGGGACTAACAATTGGTATCAGAGCCGATCGAGAACGATCAGAAGAACTCCTGCAGAATACTCTGTTTTTGTTAAAGTAGTTCATTCTGTCGATTTTTTGCTCTGTAATTTTGTTTCTTGTTCAAAAATTGTAAAAGTTACACCTTTGGAATCGCCTCTTCAAAGCGATCAAAGGGTATACTTCAGTTTGTGTTTTTCGCAATTTTTGTTTTCGAGATATCTCGAGATAGGCTTCTCGATATCCTATTTCTTCACAGGTTCTGCTACGTTTTTCGAGTTGAAAACTTTACCAGAAGATCTCGACATTCAACTCTACAGGAAACTATCTTCAGTTTTTGATTATCTGATTTTTACAGGTTGAAAGATTTCGACATTGAGGATTTCGACATCTTGGATTTTGAAATCTTGATTTCGAGAAAAGGTTTCGACATCTGGTCTCGACATTTGACTCATCAGATTAAGATTTCGAGAGATTAACTTCTCGACATTTCAAATCTCGAGATCAGCATCTCGAAATTTGAAATATCGAGATCCCAAATCTCGAGATCCTTAATCTCGAGCCCAAATCTCGATACCGGGCCTCCTTTATCGAAATCTGAAATTTCGATATTCAGATCTCGACATCTGATTTTTCGAGATTCTGCCTCTGAAAATCTTTTGATCAATTTTCTCGAACGGTCAGTTTAGTACAGCAATGGGTTCAGAATACAATGCACAAGGGAACAGCAGTACCCCTCCTAGCCTCAGGAAGGGAGAATATCAAATGTGGAGGAACAGATTTTTAAACTTCCTCGAGCACAAAGAGAACTCTTCTGCAATGCTCGAATCCTTACTTGAAGGACCAGCTGAACTTTTAATTTCAGTTGGTGGAGATCCAGAGAACAATCCTCCTATTTTTCCAGAAATAAGGAGAAAAGTGCCATCTGAATACACAGAAGCCGACAAGCTCAGACTTCGTGGTGATCTTATGGCTAAAACATATCTCCTTCAAGCAATACCGAACGAGGTTTATGTCCTCATTGATAGCATGCAGACAGCTAAGGAGATGTGGGATGAAATAGAAAAGCTGCTACAAGGCACAAGCATCAGCCTCAAAACAAAGAAGACTACAATTCTCATCGCTTATGACTCCTTCAAAGCAGGACCAGGAGAACCATTGAATGAGACTTACAATAGACTTGTTCAACTGGTAAATGAACTCAGAAAAATCAAAGTATTCAGGTCCAATCTGGAACTAAATATTAGATTCTTATCCAGCCTGCATCCTGCTTGGGAAAAGACAGTGAAGGATGTCAGATCACGGATAGATCTGGACGAAATTGACCTCTGCACACTCTATGAACATCTAAAGCAATTCGTCAACGAGGTTGCATGCGCTGAGGATCATCACACCACAAACCCCTTAGCTCTTGTAATGGATGCTCAGCCTAGAAGGTCAACCACTTCACTAAAGAAGAAAAAGAAGAAGGTGGTGGTTGAATCAGATGATGATGAGAGTGACGATGACAAATCTGATCTAGAGGCTGAGCTAGCAGACTTACAGAAGAAGATGGCAATGCTGGCCAAAAGATTTGCGAAGAAGAACACCTCCTCCAACAGACTGAGAACTTCCTCCTCAAACTACAAGCAGAAGAACCATGATCAAGGATCTTCTAGGAAGGCTTCATCGGCAGAAGAAGCTCCTAAATGCTATAATTGCGGCAAGCCTGGACATGTGATCAAAGACTGTCGCCTCCCAAAAAGGAAAGACGCTAACTTCTACAAGCAGAAGATGCTATGGAATAAGCAGAAAATGCTAATGGTGCAAAAAGAAGAAGAAACCTCTGCCATGATTGCTGAAAATGAGAACTGGGCAGAAGATTCTTCTGAGGAGGAGGAAGAGGAAGACAACTATGCTCTTATGGCACGAGTGGAGGGAGATGAAATAAAGGGTGATGCTGCGATCCCCGAAAGCAAGTGCTCAACAAGCTCTGTAAGTACCTCCCATACTTCTTTAAATAATCAAATGCAGTCCTTACTTGAAAAGGACAATCTAATCAAAGAACTGAAGGAGAGACTAGACAATAATCATAGAGTTCTGAAACAGAATCTAGACCAAAAGTCTTCCTTAAGTATTCAACTTGAAATTGCAAAAGATCAAGTCAAAAAGGTGTCCTCAGATTTTGAAAGCTTTGAACTTAAGATAGCTGAATTAACTAAGAAATTTGAGGACAGTGAACGGGAAAAAAGCACAGCAAAGGCTGAATGCGATTTTTTGCATAACAAAAGAAGAACGCTTTTAAATAAAGTAAAAGAACTAGAAGATCTAGCTGCTAGAAGAGGTCAATCTGAACAAACTGTTTTTCTGCTTAACAACAAACAAAAGGATGACCGATTCTACAATGCTAAAACAGGACTGGGCATAACTAACCCACGTAATCTTAAGAAAGTTAATTGTCTTCAAATCTATAACAAAGATTACATGGGACTAGGGTTTGGTGAGAAAATGTATTTTCGAAGTGATGAAGATTATGCTGAAGCGGAAGAAGAAAAGAGAAAGAAATCAAAACCTGCGATTTCTTGTGATTATCCCTCTGTGAATGAAAAACAACTTTCAGAAGAAAAACCGACTTCCTGCTTTAGTGAATGCCTAGACCCCTATGCTAAAGATATTCCTCACATAGGACACCCTCTAGACCCTCCCCCAAGAGTTGGTATTGCTAAAACTGGTGAGGAACCATGTATTTTTCCCATGGCTCAAAAGCTCAAAAATCTACAAAAAACTCTTGATAACGAGAGAGAGAGATTTGAAACTGAAAAGAAAAGTTTTGAGCGCAACTGGCAGGAACTTCTTCAAAAATTTAATGATTTGAGTGAGCAGTTTCATGCTAAAACAGACCCTTCTACGAACAAGCCTGACAGCTCACACACCTCACATGAGAAAAACAATGTTTTTAAAGGTTCGTCCACTCATCTCTCTTCTCCTTTGTTTACAGGGAATGAAGTGAATAAGGAAGGAGAAGAGAAGAATGAGTGGAGGAAAAAGAGGAAGGAAATCGCAGAAGGCAAAAAGAAAGTTTTTGAGAAAAGTGCCAGCCCTAGATCTAGTTCTATTTTTTATTCCAAAGTTAATTGTAATTCTTTTTCGACTAAGCAAACTTCTAGTAGTTCAGTCTTGAGTCCCAAGCTGAATATTTCTGAGACATCCTCTAGACAACGCTCTATTTATAATACAAGTGATGCTTATGGTTATTCTGTTCCAGATCCCCATAATTATGAATGTGATGTGAATGTTGTTAAATCTAAGCCCTCTAGAAAGCTTAAACCTGAACAGGAAACCAAGAAAGAAACTTCTAAGGGAACGTTTTGTATTCCAGATATGAAATATGCTCTTAGAGTTCATTCTAGGAAACATGTTAATCGGCTTTCTAAGGAGGAGATTTTCAAAACCAAACTCAAGAAACAACCGTTCAATCACACAGCTCCTGTCTACTCTCCTCCTGAACTTAAACCGAAAAGATGGGTCCCCAAGATAAGACCCGTCAAAACTGAAACTAAAAAGTGGGTCCCCAAGATGAGACCTACCAAACCCGAATCGAATAGGTGGGTCCACAAACAAAGACCCATCCTAACTAAAACTGATAGGTGGGTTCCCAATCGTAGACCCATCATAACTAAAACTGATAGGTGGGGTTCAAATCGAGGACCCATCAGAACTGCTACTGAAAGGTGGGTCCCCAAACTTAGACCCACAAGGACTAAAATGGAAAGGTGGGTTCACAACATCAGACCCACCAAAATGGAACGTGCTAGGTGGACTCCAAAAACCAGACACACTGCAAAAGCAGATCTGGCAATTGGAAAGCCCATCGAAGATAGATCTTTTGTTGAAAGAGCAGCTGACCTTGGATCACTGCTCAAAGCAAGTTTTAAAAAGGTGTTTCTTGATAATAAGGAAGGACCCACTCCAAGTTGGGTACCTGATCTTATTTGATTGTTTTGCAGGACGAGCATGTGTGGCACTTAGACTCAGGATGCTCAACCCACATGACCGGCATAAAGCACCTTTTGAGCAACTACACCAACTGCTACGGAGGCAATGTTAGATTCAGAAATGACGCCTCATCTCCTATCCTTGGGTATGGGGACGTCGTCTGTGCCAGTGTCACAATAAAAGATGTTTCATTCGTCAAAGGGCTCAAACACAACTTACTGAGCATTGGACAATTCTGTGACAGCGGGATGGAAGTGAGGTTCTTTGCAAAACAATGCTGTGTTCTTGACAGCACAGGAAATACATTATTAACGTGTAACAGAACATCAAATTTGTACACTATTGA